GTGTGCCCAGGTGACCCGAAATCCTCCCCAGGTGTGCCCAGGTGACCCCAAATCCTCCCCAGGTGTGCCCAGGTGACCCCAAATCCCCCAAAATCGTCCCCAGGTGTGCCCAGGTGACCCCAAATCCCCAACCCCCCTCACCTGGCAGCAGCGGCTCGCGGGGGTTCACCTGCTCGGGGCGGGGCAGCTCCAGCTCGACCCCGCCCGGCCCCGGGCTGACCACGCCCCTTTCCCCGCCGGCCCCGCCCCCTCGCAGGGCCCAGCCAATGGCCAGCCGGAGGCGGGGCCGGTTCAGGGAGGTGAGGGTGAGGGAGGCCAGGGCGGCCATGTTGGCGGCCAGGTGAGCGGCCAGGAGCAGCCCCAGGGTGGCCCAGGTGAGCCTGAGGGGGGGCGGAGCCAGGTAAGGACACGCCCACTGGTGAATAAACCACGCCCCCTTTGGGAATAAGCCACGCCTACCTCACCTGGGCCACGCCCACCTCACCTGGGCCACACCCACTTATGGATAGGCCACGCCCCCTTCGTGAATAAGCCACGCCCACCTCACAAATGGCCACGCCCACCTCACCTGGAAGAGCCCAAGCCTCACCTAGGCCACGCCCACTAATGGATAGGCCACGCCCCCTTCGTGAATAAGCCACGCCCACCTCAGAAATGGCCACGCCCACCTCACCTGGAATACCCCAAACCTCACCTGGGCCACGCCCACTTATGGATAGGCCACGCCCACTTAATTAATGAGCCACGCCCACCTCACCTAGAAGAGCCCAAAGCTCACCTGGGCCACGCCCACATATTGATAGGCCACGCCCACTTCATTAATAAGCCACGCCCACCTCACCCGGGCCACGCCCACATCACCGGAAAGAGCCCAAACCTCACCTGGGCCACGCCCAATTCCCAAATAAGCCACGCCCACCTCACCTGAGCCACACCCACATCACCTGGAAAGATCCAAAAATCTCACCTGGGCCACGCCCACTTATGGATAGGGCACGCCCATTTAATTACTAAACCACACCCACCTCACCTTGGCCACGCCCACCTCGCCTAGAAGAACCCAAAGCTCACCTGGGCCACGCCCACTTATGGATAGACCACGCCCACTTCATTAATAAGCCACGCCCACCTCACCTGAGCCACACCCACATCACCTGGAAAGATCCAAAATCTCACCTGGGCCACGCCCACTTACGGATAGGCCACGCCCATTTAATAAACAAACCACACCCACCTCACCTTGGCCACGCCCACCTCACCTAGAAGACCCCAAAGCTCACCTGGGCCACGCCCACTTATTGATAGGTCACGCCCATTTCATTAACCCACGCCCACCTCAATTTGGCCACGCCCACCTCACCTGAAAGATTCCAAACCTCACCTGGGCCACGCCCACTTATGGACAGACCACGCCCACTTCATTAATGAGCCACGCCCACCTCACCTGGGCCACGCCCACCTCACCTGAAGTAGCCCAAAGCTCACCTGGGCCACGCCCACTTATGCATAGGCCACGCCCACTTCATTAATGAGCCACGCCCACCTCACCTGGGCCACGCCCACACCACCGGAAAGAGCCCAAACCTCACCTGGGCCACGCCCAATTCCCGAATAAGCCACGCCCACCTCACCTGAGCCACACCCACATCACCTGGAAAGATCCAAAATCTCACCTGGGCCACGCCCACTTATGGATAGGGCACGCCCATTTAATTACTAAACCACACCCACCTCACCTTGGCCACGCCCACCTCACCCGGAAGACCCCAAACCTCACCTGGGCCACGCCCACTTATGGACAGACCACGCCCATTTAATGAATAAGCCACGCCCATCCAACATAGGCCATGCCCACTTATGGACAGACCACGCCCACTCCATTAACAAGCCACGCCCACCTCACCTGGACCATGCCTGCCTCACCTGGGCCACGCCCACTTGTGGATAAGCCACACCCACCCCACATAGGCCACGCCCACTCTTGGATAGGCCACGCCCATTTCTTGAAGAAGCCACGCCCACCTCACATGGGGCGCACACTTATGGATAGGCCACGCCCATTCCCTATATAAGCCACGCCCATCCACTTAGACCACGCCCACTTATGGATAAACCACGCCCCCTTCTTGAATAAGCCACGCCCATTTTGCAAAAAACCTCCAAACCCTTCTGGCCCCGCCCAATTCCAGCCCCGCCCCTCAAAGCCCCTCCCCTTTTAAGCCCCTCCCACTTCCCACCTCAGGGTTAAACCCCTCCCCATTAAGCCACGCCCCTTTAAGCCCCTCCCATTTAAACCCCGCCCCTTTAAGCCCCTCCCATTTAAACCCCGGCCCTTTAAGCCCCTCCCATTTAAACCCCGCCCCTTCAAGCCCCTCCCCATTTAAACCCCGCCCCTTTAAGCCCCTCCCATTCAAGCCACGCCCCTTTAAGCCCCTCCCCACTTAGGCCACGCCCCTTTCCCCCTTAGGCCCCGCCCCCTGCTCACATCCACTTAGCCCTGCCCACAATGGCCACGCCCCATTTTGGCCACGCCCCCTGTCCCGACCAATAGCAATGGTCCCCTGCCCTCTGGCCACGCCCCTTATGGTGGCCACGCCCCCGGCCCCGCCCCTCACCATGGCCGCCCGTCCAGCAGGGGGAGCAGCAGCAGCGACAGCAGCAGCCCCGCCCCGTTCACCAGCGTCTCCTGCCGGTAAGGACCAGTACAAACCAGTCAGGACCAGTACAAACCAGTATGGACCAGTACAAACCAGTAAGGACCAGTATAAACCAGTATGAATTGATAGAAACCAGTATGGACCAGTACAAACCAGTAAGGACCANCCCACATCACCGGAAAGAGCCCAAACCTCACCTGGGCCACGCCCAATTCCCAAATAAGCCACGCCCACCTCACCTGAGCCACACCCACATCACCTGGAAAGATCCAAAAATCTCACCTGGGCCACGCCCACTTATGGATAGGGCACGCCCATTTAATTACTAAACCACACCCACCTCACCTTGGCCACGCCCACCTCGCCTAGAAGAACCCAAAGCTCACCTGGGCCACGCCCACTTATGGATAGACCACGCCCACTTCATTAATAAGCCACGCCCACCTCACCTGAGCCACACCCACATCACCTGGAAAGATCCAAAATCTCACCTGGGCCACGCCCACTTACGGATAGGCCACGCCCATTTAATAAACAAACCACACCCACCTCACCTTGGCCACGCCCACCTCACCTAGAAGACCCCAAAGCTCACCTGGGCCACGCCCACTTATTGATAGGTCACGCCCATTTCATTAACCCACGCCCACCTCAATTTGGCCACGCCCACCTCACCTGAAAGATTCCAAACCTCACCTGGGCCACGCCCACTTATGGACAGACCACGCCCACTTCATTAATGAGCCACGCCCACCTCACCTGGGCCACGCCCACCTCACCTGAAGTAGCCCAAAGCTCACCTGGGCCACGCCCACTTATGCATAGGCCACGCCCACTTCATTAATGAGCCACGCCCACCTCACCTGGGCCACGCCCACACCACCGGAAAGAGCCCAAACCTCACCTGGGCCACGCCCAATTCCCGAATAAGCCACGCCCACCTCACCTGAGCCACACCCACATCACCTGGAAAGATCCAAAATCTCACCTGGGCCACGCCCACTTATGGATAGGGCACGCCCATTTAATTACTAAACCACACCCACCTCACCTTGGCCACGCCCACCTCACCCGGAAGACCCCAAACCTCACCTGGGCCACGCCCACTTATGGACAGACCACGCCCATTTAATGAATAAGCCACGCCCATCCAACATAGGCCATGCCCACTTATGGACAGACCACGCCCACTCCATTAACAAGCCACGCCCACCTCACCTGGACCATGCCTGCCTCACCTGGGCCACGCCCACTTGTGGATAAGCCACACCCACCCCACATAGGCCACGCCCACTCTTGGATAGGCCACGCCCATTTCTTGAAGAAGCCACGCCCACCTCACATGGGGCGCACACTTATGGATAGGCCACGCCCATTCCCTATATAAGCCACGCCCATCCACTTAGACCACGCCCACTTATGGATAAACCACGCCCCCTTCTTGAATAAGCCACGCCCATTTTGCAAAAAACCTCCAAACCCTTCTGGCCCCGCCCAATTCCAGCCCCGCCCCTCAAAGCCCCTCCCCTTTTAAGCCCCTCCCACTTCCCACCTCAGGGTTAAACCCCTCCCCATTAAGCCACGCCCCTTTAAGCCCCTCCCATTTAAACCCCGCCCCTTTAAGCCCCTCCCATTTAAACCCCGGCCCTTTAAGCCCCTCCCATTTAAACCCCGCCCCTTCAAGCCCCTCCCCATTTAAACCCCGCCCCTTTAAGCCCCTCCCATTCAAGCCACGCCCCTTTAAGCCCCTCCCCACTTAGGCCACGCCCCTTTCCCCCTTAGGCCCCGCCCCCTGCTCACATCCACTTAGCCCTGCCCACAATGGCCACGCCCCATTTTGGCCACGCCCCCTGTCCCGACCAATAGCAATGGTCCCCTGCCCTCTGGCCACGCCCCTTATGGTGGCCACGCCCCCGGCCCCGCCCCTCACCATGGCCGCCCGTCCAGCAGGGGGAGCAGCAGCAGCGACAGCAGCAGCCCCGCCCCGTTCACCAGCGTCTCCTGCCGGTAAGGACCAGTACAAACCAGTCAGGACCAGTACAAACCAGTATGGACCAGTACAAACCAGTAAGGACCAGTATAAACCAGTATGAATTGATAGAAACCAGTATGGACCAGTACAAACCAGTAAGGACCAGTACAAACCAGTATGGACCAGTACAAACCAGTATGAATTGATAGAAACCAGTATGGACCAGTACAAACTACTATAAACCAGTACAAACCAGTAAGGACCAGTACAAACCAGTAAGGACCAGTACAAACCAGTAAGGACCAGTACAAACCAGTATGGACCAGTACAAACCAGTAAGGACCAGTACAAACCAGTAAGGACCAATACAAACCAGTAGGAATTGATAGAAACCAGTATGGACCAGTACAAACCAGTAAGGACCAGTACAAACCAGTAAGGACCAGTATAAACCAGTAGGAATTGATAGAAACCAGTATGGACCAGTACAAACCAGTATAAACCAGTACAAACCACTATAAACCAGTACAAACCAGTAAGGACCAGTATAAACCAGTAGGAATTGATAGAAACCAGTAGGAACCAGTATAAACCAGTAGGAATTGATAGGAACCAGTAGGAATTGATAGAAACTAGTATGGACCAGTATAAACCAGTATGAATTGATAGAAACCAGTATGGACCAGTATAAACCAGTATAAACCAGTAAGGACCGGTACAGACCAGTATGGACCAGTACAGACCAGTACGGACCAGTATGGACCGGTATGGATTGATAGAAACCAGTAAAAACCAGTACAGACCAGTATAAACCAGTAAGGACCAGTATGGACCAGTATGGAACAGAACATACCAGTACGGACCAGTACGAACCCTTAAGGATTGATAGAAACCAGTAAAAACCAGTATAATCCAGTATAAACCAGTAAGGACCGGTACGGACCAATACAGACCAGTATGGACCAGTATGGACCATTACGGATTGATAAAAACCAGTATAAACCAGTATAAACCAGTTAGGACCGGTATGGACCAGTATGGACTGGTAGGGATTGATAGAAACCAGTATAAACCAGTAAAAACCAGTATAAACCAGTA